GAATACTTTTAAACATTTTTATAAAACGGGAAGAGGCTACACCTGAGCACTGGTAGAAAAAGTTGTGGCTTTACAGAATAAATTTAGTTAAATATTTTTACCAAAACTACCATTCTTAAACCATAAGTTAATGTACCTTGAAATAGGGTAATATATTATTAACTCTTAGCAATTTTGCAAGCAAAGATAAGTAAAAATCTTAATTACAAGCCAAGTCACTAGAGCTTAAGTTCTAATTTAGTCATATTTCTGCCAGGTGTAAGACAGGGAACTGGGACTGACACACGGCGGGTAATCAGCGGAGCTTGGGCCTAATGAAGGTCAAACATGTTGACAGATATCCCCGTTGTCGTCGTCAAAGTCGTCTCCATCTTCAGGCCAATCATTGGCAACATCGGTGCTGTTCCAGCTGAGGGCACACGTCACGCAACATTCAAATGCTCAAATATTCGAGTGGCAAAGCGAGGAAGTCGGATATAATGTTGTTTTGAAATTAACCCAATTTCCGTGCAAATGACAAAATGAAAATGAAAACGGAAAACAAAAACCTGCGACAGAAATGTGCATAGAAATTCCTTGGCAAAAGCCATCGTAATAATAAACAGCAATCAGCGAATCTTTTGGATTGCCAAAGCGAATTCAAGTTTGTCATTGTTTTGTGTGTTTGGGTTTTGTCATGTGAGAAAGTCGTGCCAAATGCAGATCTTTAACCATTACTTTAATGACAATTATCCAGTGCTGTGCGGCGATGATGACGTTTTGTGATGAAGCGAAATCCAAAAGCCTGAATTCCATTCGGGGCATGCTGCAGTCAGTCAGCCACAAATTGCTGAGCAAATCTATGCAATTTGCAGACCACCTCCCTTCAGTTGCCACCCACTCATTACTACAGCTCCATCTCATTATAATGGCATAATATTTTCAAGCTCATTTTTCTTTTCATTTTTGCATTTTTCATTGCCTCTCGCCCCCGGGTCTTGTGCACTTTCTGTTTGTGTTTGTTTTACGCCTTGAAAATTATACAAAAGGGGTGGAAGCTGTCTTTTAAAGCCGTAAGTGTGCCAAGCATGGCCAAAAGGAGGAATAATGCAAGAAATCTTAAGCCCTTAATCGAATTAGTCAGAGCTGAGTTGAGTTATTTTTTTTTTGTGGGATGAATAACATTATTTTTGTCTTGCAATTAGTTTGGGTTGTGCAATTTGCGAATGATTTTTTCTTGCCAGCAGCTTTGGAAAATCCTTGGTTGCTCTTGCAACTCTTTGGGAAAGTTTGTGAAAAGTTTTCTGATCAATTTATCTTGAGACAATTTGAATTAAAAAGGAATTTTTACCATTTGTTAATGAAGAGGGGAGAGATTTACAGAAGGACAGGATTGGAAAAGGAATTAACTAGAGTCCGTAAATATTAAGGAAAGTTCTTTAAATATTGTAAAATGGATTATTTGATTAATTGGGGTTGAGTATTATTTATTAAGTGTAATTTAAAGTAGTAGAAAAGCTATAGTTAAGTGTAGCTAACTGTGAGATTCTCGTTAGCCAAAGTACAATTTAAATAAATTTATAATAAAATTCAATTAAACTGTGCTAAAGGCAGATTAGAGACAAAATTTTGCTACAAACAGATAGCGCAACATCCAAATAGAAACAAATGTTGCTAAGAACCTTTTGAGCAACACCAAAAGTTGCAAAACATCGAAGATCCCTTTTAAAACCGGGTATACAAAGTGTTTTTAAATATTTATAGCTTATAATTAAATAAATATTATAATTCTGTCTGTCTATAATTATATGTTATAGCATTTTATTATATAGAATTTCAAACAAACTTTATTTGTATAACTAAAACTTAAAATATAATTATTATTCTGCTGTTTTTCCTTTAAACCCCCCTATTTCCACTTCCTGTTGCAACAATTAAAAAGGCCGCTTCATTGTTAGCAGATTTGTTTAGTTCAAAAACGACTAAACTAGAATGGAATGGAGTCAGATTTGTTTGTGAGATTGTGGGGATCTCGCCACCGGAGCATGAACAGCTCTATTTTTGACCCTTTTTTCTCTATTAGCCACACCCACACACATGCAGTGCCCGCTGCATCAGTTCTAGTGCAAAAAAACAATTTAAATAACAACGACATCCAGTTGGTAATGGAGACGAGCCAAGTTTCATACAGAGGCCTGGGAATTGGCCACCTTCTCTGTCTCTCCTCTACTCTCTGTATGTTATGTGGAAACCCTTTAGCACACTTGTTGCTATGCCAGCCCCCTTTTTCCGCCCTCTTCCATCTCTCCAATTGGAGATTACTGGAGCATGCAATTGTCTGTTGTTTGCTGTGTGTTGCTGTTGCTGCTGCTGATTTGAAATGCAGATTTCTTCTGCTTGCTGCGGCGGTTTTATTTCATTACATATAAATAGCACATTGATGAGCTCGGGGGCAAAGGGAGCTGGATGTGACCCCGTCTCACTGCATATACAGTACAGTGCGTTTCAGGAATGAATTCTATGTTAACAAATCAGCATATTAAATTTAAAATTCTAAAAAATTAAAATTTTTGTCAAATTTTGAAAATTTTAATGATGTAACCCCTTATCAAATTTTGAAAAAAATTAAAAAAAATTTTCTCTTTCCGACATGGCTAAATTGACTCGCCTGTTGATGCTGATCAAGAATATACATGATTTTTGGGGTCGGAAATGACTTCTTCACTGCTTTGCAAGGCTTTGATTATAAAAGAATGATGAGCATGGTAAATGTGATAATATTTCTTGCATTTTTAATGGTTTTTGCTAAACTTTTAGCCATAATAAATACCTTTTAGAACCTTTTTTAAGAATTCCTGTAGCAAAAGAATTATGTTTAATCATAGAAATAATTAACATAATAATTTTATTTAAATAAATCAAATCTCTCTAATATCACCATATTTTCCCTACAACTTTACTTGTGTCCTGCACTGTTTTTCTATATTTTTAGCCTAGTTCTTTGCCTGCCAAGCTTAACATCCTCCCCATTCGAATTTAGATTTGTTGGTATGCATGTAAAGGGGTAACATTCCTTAACTGGAAACTTGCAATTGCAATGCCAATTGACATTTCGTTTGTTTGTTGCCAACGAGAGCAAAGAAGAAAAGTTTTCAGATGCCAAAGTCTCAGCTGGAATGAGGTCGTTATCTCTGGTTCTTGTTCTCTTTTTCTCTCACCTGCTGGTCTGTGAATTGTAACGCGCATTTTAATTAGATTCTTAGGTCTTAGAACTCCGTCTCATGCAAATTAGTTCGAGTCGAGAATGTGGGTAGATTACACTTCACAAGAATCCAATTATGTTTGCAAGGGCAACGTTAGAAGGGGAGGGAGGGTTGATTTCCTGAGAATTGGATTTCCATATGCATTATATGCCCTTATATAATTACTGTCCCGTTTAGATTGCCATGGAAATGAACTCGTTGTGCTATCTGTAGAATAATTTCATCAAGACTTGATGAAAATTCATTAAAAATAATTGATAAGTAATTCTGCTGACAGGTGGAAGCAGGTGGGAATATTCTCAGATCATAAAAGGGCTCAATAGGAGTCTGGGAATATAAAAGATATCTCACGAAGAAAGCTGTCCTGTTAACAAGTAAATAATAATGATAAATGTAATGTAATTTTCATAAAAATAATCAAAATATGTAAAGTGCTCTATATCCGCCATGTTAAACTCAGCCTTAATTATATGTACGTTTTATTTTTGTTAATAAATAGCTCTCGTTTTAATTTGTTTATAAACAATTATTTATTTCCTCTTTTTTGGCCTGTGGGGCAGCAACGAAACCTTTTCATCTACCGAAACTACAACTTACTCCCCTCCCAAACTCCCCCTGGCTGTGTGTCTATAATCAATAAATCAAAATCCCAAAAGAAACAGCAACAAAATAGCAAAAACATAGCAGCAAATGCATTAATTAACAAGCGTAAAATTGCGCCAAATTGAGTTTTGAGCTGACCACATTTTTGGTTTTCCCTGCAGCAGCAAAGGAGATACATAAAAAAACACCAACAAGGAGGCGGCATTGACTGGTTTTGTGGGCGTGGCAGATTGGAAAACCGCAAATGATAATTTACATTGCGGCAAAAGCAAACATTTGCAATCAAATTTGATGAAATTCATATTTTTGTCTTTCGGTAATTTGTCTATTTTTTCGTTTGGCGTGGGCGTGGAAAGTGGGCTAAATGAGATTGCATCATAACTTGGTCCAAATAATGGAGGTCAAACTTCAACTGTGGCAACTTGAAGTGTAATTGTCTTTTTCGGTTTTTCTTTAATTTACTTTCTTGATTTTATTTCAACAGCAAATAGGTGAAGTTATTAAATAATTTTTCAAGCAAAAAGTTAGTCCAAGAGTCTGTGTATTACGTTTATATATATTTTTTTAATTAACTTTTTTTTAATTTATTTTTTTACCCATTTAACTTGGCTCGTTGTGGGTCAAAGCCTTTGAAAAAATGATGTTATAAAAGAAAAAGTAAACCGTGAACATAAAAAATAGGCAAAAATAAAAACAAAGTTATGTGAAAACATGGTTTGGCCAAAGACAAACGGGTTATGCTTGACCAGATATATGTTTTATCCCCTCTCTACACCTCCCCACCCCTTTTAATAAATGTGGAAAATGTTAAGTATACCAGAAATTTACAGCCAAAACTGTGTAAAAAGTAAATATATCGCAGTAGACAGAGGCAGAAGGGAGCGGGGCATTGTATAAATAATTTTCTCTAATTAATTGTACAACTTGGGAGTGTTAAGGCTACTAACTCGGGCCTTTCCGCTTTTGGCTTGGCTTTTTATTTATAAGCGAGTTTCGTATGAAAAGCGAATGAAAATGTTGGTGGCCAGCAGCAACACTTTGACAACATTTTTCAAATTGCATTTTTCGTTTTAGCTCAACTAATTTAACGCGCATTTTTCACATGCATTTCTTTAACTTATCCATATATGTATTTATTTGTGACAACATTTGCAGGATGCCAGCATCTTGGCCGCACCCAGCCACCACCATCACCACCACAACAACATTCACAGCCACATCTATGACTTGCCACAACAATTGCAGCAACAACATCAGCATCAGCAACAGCAGCAGCAGCAACAACATCAACTAAATGTCGAGGCTGTCATATTGCAGAATCAGGTGGATACATTGCATTGGCAATTGAAACAGGTGAGTGAATGAGCCAAGCTAAGTCGGGGAAAGGCAGACCAAGAAGTCCGCCGCAAAACAAAAGACTCAAGGCACGAACGTGACTTGGGGGTTTTGTGTTCTCAGCTGGAGGAAACTGTGTTAAGTGCCAAGTCAACTTAACAAACCAAGAAATAAACAGCTTACCATCCCCCAACCCCCAACCCACACCCAACTCCAATCCCAATCTCGATCTGCTTTGACTACCGACTTCTGCCCTCCTTGGATCAACCTGTTTTCCTGTCTCTAGCATTCTTTATTTAAATAGTTCTCACGCTTAATTTACTCAAATCGGAATGGAAATGAAAATGTAAGAGATGTGGAGAACGATTCCGTAACCAGACAGGGTCGCTTGTTATGTCGAGTATTGTGTGCACAGCAAAAAAGAACCCATTAGTTTAGAAGTTGGGGTAATTACAGAATTTTTAGAATTATTTAGACTTTCCTTAAGACTGGATATTTAGTTTAAAGATATAACTCTAAGACAAAGATCTCTTTAGAAAGAGATCTTAAACTTAAGAATAAATATCCAAGATATCTTTATGATTACTATTAAAAGTTAAGCTTCATAAAAATATCAATATAAATATCTATAAAATTAAATTCTTTTTAATTCTAAAAATCAAACTATAATCTCTAATCTTAGTTATTTTCTGTGCATCATCGTAGCCATTTCCTTTCAACATAGTTCCTCCTCTGTTAGGGCAAAATGGGGGAAGTCTTGCCCCATCGCAATTAGGCGGCAGCATTCTTCTCTGACGCTTAATTATAGACTTGGCGTCTCTTCTATATACACACACACAACATATATTACTTTGTTCTGGTCTTTGGTCATCGCGCTCTTTCATTGTCTTTCGGCCATTTCCTTTAACAACAGCTGCATTAATTTTATACTTCCTCACCAAAGGTTGCTAATGGACCTGACGGGTTCTTCTTTCAGCGAGCTAAAGCTCCACCGTAAAAGTGAGAAGCGCGAGATTGATTCAAACAATTCCGATTGCCATCTATATGGTGTGTAATAATAAGTTGAGCATCAATAAAATGACTTGGGCATTGAGGAAAAATTCTTGAACAAGAGGAATTTCAAGCAGCCGGTGACTTAGATCAAATCGATGAGGCAGACAAAGAATTTACAAATTATAGACATTTTTATTGCGCATTATTTGGAGTAGGATTGGGAAAGGGGTGATCAGGGTTGAAATTAAATTGAGATCTAGGTAAAGGAAATTTGTTTTATTTTTCTTGATTATAGACTTGCAGGGTATTATAATTTTAGTCAAAAGAAAACGCAGGGAAGGAATGATTTCCGACTCTATAAATCATATATATTCTTGATCAGCATCAATAGGGGAGTCTTTCTAGCCATTTTGGGAAGAAAAAATTTTTTTTTTAATTTTTTGAAAATTTTATAAGGGGTTACATCATTAAAATTATCAAAAATTGCTAAAAAATTTTAATTTTTTAAATGTTAGCTTTAGTATGCAGATTTATTAAAGCTATAAAAACTAACTCAAAACAGCTTGCCGAATTGAAATTAATGTCATTTTGGCCAAGTTATGATGTTTTAAAGATTTACTTTTCCCACAAATTTTCTTAATAAATAATGAATAAATATTTATGTTTTAATACGCCTTTGAGGATATTATCATTTCAGTCAGAAGCATTTTATCATGATATTTTTATATATTTTTAATTTATCAAATTAGAAATAATATATACAATATTAAGTCTAATAGGAAAGTGGGTGGATTAGAGTACTAAGTAATTCAACCTTCGACTCAAGCATTTTTTCATGATATGCTCCAATTGCAAACTGCAAGGGTATACAAACTTCGGCTTAAGCTTCCTTTCGTTTTTTTAAATATTTTCTCTCAAATTTCCAAGTCGTTCCTAATGGCCCCAAGATTTTCCCCCAACACAAAACTAGAGCAGTTTAAAGCCGTCTCTGCTCCCAATTTACCGCAACCAACTTTGAACTCTAAGATGTTGGTGGGGTGTGTGACCTTCAGCATTTTGCGCTTGATATGTTGAGATCTCTCTCCCCTCAACACTTTCAATTCAAAGCGATTCTCTGTACAGCCGACGGATGCTCAGAAAGAGCGAAAATATTTACGCTTTCATTTCGATTTAATGCGCTTTAAATGAGCCCCAATGAAGTTGACTTGGAAAGCCAAGCCGGACGGCGCCGACGCAGTCTCCGTTGCCTTGGAAAATCGCAAAAAGAAAACAAAGCAACCAGAAATATAATAAGAAAAGTATAAATATTTTCTGCAGTTTGGTCCGTTTCTTGATTCGCCATACTCTTGTTTGAAAGGAAAAACTGGGTTAGAAGGCAGGAAAAACCGTACGGAAAACTTTGCTGGCCAAGGAAAAACTGTATAAACTGTAAAAACTATGCGGGCGTGGGTAGACCGCCGACCAGATTGATTGATTGATTGATTGAGCTTAAATCGATGGGTGGAGACGAAATTTAATTTATGCAGCGAAAGGAAGTCAGCCGGGCGAAAATGCTTGCATTAAACCGGACCCACAGACTCCCCGCTTGATAGCCAGGAAATGCGTTTGCCAGAGAAGCAACTCAGCTAAGGCAGCCAAGCGGATCCAAGCCCAATCTGGAATCCTCATCCGAATCAAAATCCTCTCAGCTCCAATTGCTCGATGAGCGAGGAAAATGCCAAGGCATGGCTGAAACACTTTAATGAAATTAAACAAGGCATAACAAAATGGAATCGAAATCAAATACTGCACAAGTAGCAGCCAGCCAGCGTCGGCAGTGCCGGCATATAATTACCACATAATTTTCAAATAAATCTCAGGCACACGAACACAATTCGGTAATTCGAATGAAAACCTCTTGCTAGCACGCAGTAGGAAAACTCCGTAAACGGAAAACGTCCAATGAAAAATTAGCAACAATTTCCAAACGCTGCAACTGCAACGGCACCAACGTTAGCTTACATAATCAGCCAGACAACTATTTTGGCATCGTGTGAAGCCCCCCCAAAAAAAGAGAAAAAACCCACCAGATACGCTCACCCGTTTTGGCCTGGCCAATTTTCAAATGGCCAAATGGCATTTTGTCGTCGGGTGGTGGGTGGGCGTGTGCCAGGTGATGGCAATCTTAACGCCTATTTGAGGTCTCTGCCAATTTGGCAAAGCGCTCGAATGGCATTTGATAATTAGACAATTTGGCCAACAGAAGTTAACCAAAAGGCGACAGTACCGCTCACCCAAGATGGAAATAGAGATGGAGATGGAGATGATGATGATGTGATGGCATAGAGACCCACAGCACCACACAAAGCGGCAGAGAAATGCGCGGAGAAAGAGGCGCGATAACAAATCAAGTGAAAGTTTTTATAGGCTGATGATGCTGATGGCTGGGGGCCTGCTCCACAAATGTGTGTTTGCCGCCAGCTCAGGCAAAATCATATACAATTAACATAAATAATAAATTAAAGTCATCGGTTCAAATGCATTTTCAGAGTGTCAAAGCAATGACCGGGCACCTGGCTAAGGCACAGTGGTACAAAAGTGGCAGAGTCAATGAGCTGGCTTTTTTTTTATTGAAAAATCATTGGGGTTATAGGGAAAACATTAATGTAATATTTATGCCTCTTGGAGCTACGAAGAAAAAGGTTATATGGGGTCCCAAGAAAAGTATTCAAAGTAAGGTATCTGAAAGCTAACTAACTAACAAATTTTGAAAGACTTAGTCAAGATGCAATACTGCCCAGACCCAACCCTAACTCTATACCAAAACATACCCTAAACAAACATCTTTCATAGTTTTTAATCAAATTATAAACTCTACAAATAATAATCTAAAAATAACCCTTAAATTCCAGACCGAAACAAACTGCGAGATGTACCGCGCTGTAATGGAGGAAGTGGCCCGTTTCTTTGAGCGTTACCAGCAGCAGCAACAGCTTCAGCAAATCCATCGCAATGGCGAGCAAATTGCTCGGTCCAAGAGTCTGCATCATGTCCATGGAGTTGGTAACAATACCTCGCTGCAGGGTGATGCCCGAGATGATGATGCCTCCAGTGCTGGATCCGCCTCGTATCTAAGGGCCCGTAGCAGCACCAATCTGATGCTGAACAAATCTATGCACGCCATGAATGAAGAGCACAATTACGAGACCATAGCGCCAGCTGGAAGTTATAATGCCTTTAAGGACTTTACATGGTGAGAAGAGCTTTAAATTTACACTTTTAAATTTGTTTATTAATTAAATTATACTTTTTTCCCCTAAAAAGGCGTCGCTCACCGAAGAAATCTGGACCAAATGGCGGTTGCAAGGCTCGCCTATCCTCACCGGAGGCTGCGGAGGAGAAGCTCAACCAAGAGGCCTTCCGCTTGGCCAGGACCATCAGAAATCTCCTAAACACCTCGGAACAGCAGCCGGATCTCACCCAGCCGCGTCACTCGTTGGCCTCCTCCATTTCCTCCTCGCTGCCTTCGGGAAATCATCGACTCTGCAAGGGAAAAACCAGTTCGGTGATGACGCTGCTGACGCCACCATTGCACAACTCCACCAGCATTATGAATGCCACACTGGAGGCCCCCTCGCCAGCTGCTAAATCCAATGCCGAGCTTATCTTTTTGCGAGCCAACAATATGAGGGATTCAAGGCTATCGCTGCGCAGTTCCACCGACAGTTCCGTGCATTCCACCATCTCCTCGACGGCATCCTCTTCCTCCAAGGTGGAAACGGATGAGGAGACCCAGAGCAACGGCAACGCCACAACCACTGCCAGCAGCAATACAGCCATCAGCAACATTAAAACCACGACCAGCAATAAGCAGAGCGGTTCCAGCACGGAAGATGAGAGTGGCTTTAGTTCCATCAGCTCCTTCCACGACGTTGGTCTGCCCTTGAGCTCCACTCTAATGAATGGCAATGCCCAGCGACGCCTTTCCATGTGCTCTGACAGCCGCAACTCCACGCTAAAGTCGGGGCTTAATGTTTTGGGGCTGCCCCAAGCGCAAGTTCAAGTACAGGTTCAGGCGCAGATTACGGCCAGTCAATCGCCGTCGAAAACCTATCGCAATGCCAATCGCTATCAGCGATTTTCGACTCTATCGAACGAAGATGCTGCTGCTGTTTTGTGGGTTTAAGAATTCTTGAAGAGAAGCCGCCCAGAAATGCATTTGAAAATTGGATTTAAAAAGCAACAATTAAATTAGGATTTTACTTTTGTTTTTTTCTCTAGTGCCTCCGCTTAAGTTAAAATTTAGTTAACTTTTAAACAGTGTTTAATTTTCAATTTGTTTATATATCGTTTAGTTTTTTTGTAAGGACCAAAAAATGCGCATTTTTATGTTAACCAAGATACATGTAAATTTCAGTTGCTCTAAGTTTTTCAGTATTTATAAATAAATAAAAACATAACTTAAACGATGTTTTAGTAGGCTTTGAATAGGCTTTCATGTGTTTCTGGTAGTGTCATTGTTCAACTTTCTGCCTCTCGTTTCGATTCGTTTCCCTTTCAGTCTTGGAAAAATGTGCTAAAGTAGAATCTTTTTGGTATTCTTGTAAGTAATTCTCACTCGAGTCGCGACCAAATTCGTTGAGACCACACACACACAGCCGCCGCTGAAAAATATAAATTTAAGTATTTTTGTTTGTGTAAACTGCAAAAACTATGGCTAATAATCAAGAAGAAAACTGTGAGATAACCAACCTGAATGAGTTGGTGGAAGTGCCGGCTCAGCAGGAGAAAGAGCTGGTGCAGGATCTTGAGAATCCTGACAACCAAGTAAATTTGGAAACTCTTGATGAGGCCATATACGAAGTGCAGTACCAACATCCTTTGGAGCATGTGTGGACTTTATGGTATTTAGAAAACGATCGCACCAAACACTGGAAGGACATGCTGAACGAGATCACCAAGATCGACAGCGTGAAGACCTTCTGGAGCTTGTACAATACCATCAAGACGCCCTCGGAGCTGAAGACAGGATGCGACTATTCCATGTTCAAAACAGGCATCAAGTAGGAGTTGGTTTTCTTTGAAATGTAAGTTATCCTGTTAATGATCTCTTTTCCCCCCAAGACCCATGTGGGAAGATGAGGCTAATATCAAGGGTGGTCGCTGGCTGCTCACATTTGGCAAAAGCTCAAAAACTGAACTGGATCGCATTTGGCTGGACATCTTGCTGATGATGGTGGGCCAAACCTTTGACTATTCCGATGAGATTTGCGGAGCTGTGACCAATATACGGGCCAAGACCAATAAGATATGTAGGTTCCTAGCATTAGACATCCTAGTCTTTTTAAAACTAAACTAGAAAATGTCCTACACGATATGTTCTTAAGATATTCCATGTTAAAAGTGCAGAAAATTCGGTTTTGTGGGTACTTTTGAGTATATATCTATATTTTTCACAATATAATTTTAAAAAATATCGATATAAATTCGAAAGATAAAAATCTCGAAGATCCAAAAATATTTTTAAACAAGAAAGAAAGCTAACTTTGGCTAGCCAAAGTTTGTATACCCTTGCAGGTAACAATTAAAATATATCATAACGAAGCCAAAAATGCATTAATTTCGATTCGGAAAGCAGTTTTGTGTTAGTTTTTATTAATTTAAAAAAACTGCATGCCAAATTTAAAATTTTAAAAAATCAAAATTTTTGCTAATTTTAATGATGTAACCCCTTATCAAATTTCGCAAAAATGGCCAAAAAATCGATTTCTTCCGGACATGTCTAGAAAGATTCGCGTGTTAATGCTGATCAAGAATATATATGGTTTATGGGGTCGGAAATGATTCCTTGACTTGGAAAATTACTATTTTGTATTAGAAAATCGGATTTTTTATATAAAAAACTTCTTAATTTTTTTAAAATTAAAAATATCATAACTCGGCCAAAAGAGCATTAATTTTAAATCGGAAAACTGTTCTGTGCAAGATTTTTTCTTACAGTTAATAAATCTGCATACTTCATTTTAAAATTTTGAAAATTCAATTTTTTATCAAAATCAAAAATTTTAATGATGTAACCCCTTATAAAATTTTGCAAAAATGGCCAAAAAATCGAATTCTTCCTGACATATCTAGAAAAATTCCCCTGTTGATGCTGATCAAGAATATATATACTTTATAGGGTCGGAAACGTCTCCTTCACTGAAAATACTGGTTTTAAGTACTTCTGAGAGCTGTTATTTTAATACTTTAAAGAACAGTTCTTGCCCTTAAATATCGGTTTATATCGGCAATTACAATTTATGATGATTATGATATCGTTTCAAAAACAATATCTTATTAACAGCGCGTGCCTAAAAACCGTATTTGTTGCACTTTTTTAATAAAAAATTGCAAAAACCTGAGGTATAGGACATTTTCTAAAGTCGATGTCAAGTTCAGTGCATTGAAAACATCCGAAAAAGTAAAATCCTATTCTTGGTTCTAAGATTTTTTTCAAATTTTGTAGAACCGTGTAATTTTTAATTCCTTAATCTCTTATCATAGCCGTCTGGACTGCCGATGGATCCAACGAGGCTGCCATTCTCGAGATTGGCCATAAGCTAAGGACCGTCTTGCGTTTGAAGTCGCACACTCTGCAATACCAACTCCACTCGGATGCCATGATCAAAGCCAATTCGGGCGTCAAATCGGTTTACACACTCTGAACGTTTGAGTGGATGCGAAGGTCCTCTACGTTGTTATTTTTCTAGTTTTTTTATACACCAGATTCGTATGTGAGGAAGATTATAAAGATTAGAGGGTTGCTGGGAGATGCGCCTGCTAAAAATTGTTGTTTGAAACTAAATTAAAGAACGAAATTCCAGTGGTAACTTAAAATGTGAGAAAAAGAGAGACATGTCCATCCATTGATTTTAAAATAATTATTTTTAATTGTGGTTGCATACATTACATTAACTTAAAACATCATCATGCTTTGAATGCCCTACGGCTTAGGGCCGTAAATAAGCCTACTCAAGCAAAATCGTTGAGTTGTAATCAATATAGTAAGATAGGTTTTTAAAAAATTTACTCAGTAAACATTCACAGCTTGTTGCGGTGTGGCGATCAACGGAAACCCATTCGAATCGATCGATCGATCGCTGCGCGCGTGAATATGCGATCTTTTGTGTGGACACTTATAAAATTTAAGTTACATTTAGCGACGCGACGCGGGTACACAGGAGTTACGGGAGTTATGGATAACTATTTACAGATCATAATGGTCAATCGATGGCCGCCTCGCTTTGAACGCTTCAACATTCGAGCGATATGCAACTTAACAATAACTTTTGTAATTCTAAACAATATTGGACGCTTGATAGATTTTGTTTCTGATTTTGTTTGTTTTTTGTGAGATTACGAATTCGAATGCCCGATTGATCGCACTGCAAACGAGTCTCTCGCTTCTAAAGGATAACAATGACGACCTTTAGAAATGGAATACACAAATTGGCTGCACGGAATCCAGTGCTTAACTTCAAATGCGGCCAACAACGGCCTTGTTTTTACGCGTGGGCTGCACCGAAAGCGGCGGCACCACCAGCATCTCGGATTGCGTTGACGGCGAACTGCTGCGCATACTGGCACAGTCCTCATCGTCCACCTCCTGTTAGAAAAATGTAAAATTAATTATAATTTTTATTGCAATTAAATATATAATTTTCTTACATTTATGTTTGTGCAGCTGGCCAAGCGCATCTGGGCCAGCTGAGAGGCGGGAGTGAGCGAATTAGTGCTGCCAAATGGCGAGGTCATCATGGTGGAGACGGCCCGTTTCAGCTTGTTGGGCGTCTTGTTGAAAGAGAAGGCACGACCCACCTGAAATTAAAATAAATAGTTGCATTAGAGAGGATTTTCATAAATAAAGCTGTATTTAAAGTCTTACCTTGAGGCGCGTTTTGGCGGCCAGTTTGAAGGCCTTGCTTAGCGTGCTGACATTTACATCACTAATGTCCACCTCCAGTTCCTGGGAGGTGCGGCAAATCAGAAGTTTGTCCTAGAATTGATTATTAAATTTTTAATTTTGTATATTTATATATAAAAATCCCATCTCTTTTTGAAGACTTACCGCATCCGTTCTGCATGTATGGGCTGCTATCTGGTTGCACAGCTTTTTCACATAAACCGATTTATCCGTCTCCTCGTCGCTGATGGTAAACGTATACAGCTTTTCCTTATCCCCACGCTGCAGCAGGCCAAAGGCTCGCGGACTGTCGGAGATGTCAATCACCAGCCGTATCGTGTTGAGGGATATCAGCTTGAGATGCTTGTGCGTCTTGGCTGTGCTCGGCGATTTGGCGGTGTTAAATCCTCGCGACCTTCGCTTGCACAGCTCAATGGAATCGGAAAAGAGATACAGGACAAGGCTATCGCCGCGACCACTCAGTGAGTCGGAGAGCTCATTCACTTCACATTTCGATATAAAGCTGCGATTGGAGCTCACCAAGTGCGCTGGACAACCATCGATATCGTTGAATATATCGAAGATGGCCATGCGCGACTCAGTGCGTCGCTTATCCTCGTTAATGTGCAGCGTCACCTGCTTGATGGCCTTCAGGGCCTCCTCCAGACGTCCATGATCAGCATTACTGTTATTCGTGTGCTTCAGGATGTCATTTAAAAGCAAACTAATGCTGGGCAAACGCTGCACGGGACGGATCATTAGATCCTGCAGACCTTGACGTCCGCACTCTGGCTTCGTCTGGTTGATCTTGAGAAAGGCATGGAAGCGTGGGTATTCCCTATCGCAGTATTGCAGCTGCTCTTTCATCTGCTCAAAGAAGTTCACGTAAGGCGGATAGGCCTTGATCAGTTCGTCGCGATGCTGGATTATAATGTCGCCAATAAGGCAATCCTCCCGCCAATTGGCATGCAGCTTGCGCAAGTGTTCCAACATGCTTTGATGCACCTCATGGATGGGCAAAAAGTTGCCAAAGATTGTCTTGATCTCGGACTTGTTGAGCAGCGGATCATTGGTCTCGGCCAGTTCTTCCAGTTTGTTTTTAAAGAGCTGTTTAAAGGGAAGAAAAATAGAAGTTAGAGGCGTTTGAAGGCAAGAACATGTTAGTTAGAAGCGGGATCGTACATAAAGATTATCTTCAACTTACATTCAGTATGGTATCCAAGATACCCACATAGTTGGACTCGGTGGTGAAAAAGTCCATAAAATGGTTGAACCGCATCGATTTCTTGGCTGGCGTAGAGACATCACTGGCCTCCGGCTCGGCATGCAGTAATTTATCCGCCGCCTCTAACTTATCCGGACTGGTGGTGCAATCAAAGAAGCTATTCGACACGGATAGCAAACCGGCATCCGAAACCGAGGAGCGTCGCTTGCCCGAGGTGCCCAGCGGAGTGCCCTCCAGCTGGATACGTTGCGAGAAACGCTTGCGTTTCCGCTTGTTAAAGCTAATGGGTAACGAGTCCCTGCGATCTGTGTTGGGGGTATTCGTGATGCTATCCAAATACTAAGAACAACACCCTAGATTAATTTACAGTTCAGGTATATTAACTTTTCCCTACTTACATCACCAAAGAGATAGTCCATCTCGTTGGCATAACCATTCTGTATGGTATACCAGAACCAGTCTGATTTCAGGATGTGCGTATGATTATTCTTAGGCTCCGGCTTCGTGACGGTCGTATGCTCGTCCACCACCTGAATGGCACAATTAATTAGAGATAATTAAAACACCTAATATTAGCTTTTAACTTGTGCAGGATAGACAAAAAAATGTTTTGTTTGCAGCCCAATTTTAGTTTATATTCAATCGTCAATCATGCTTCTATATAGATAGGTTTTATATATATATATATAGCCAGAGAGATGTTATGGAAAGCCAGCAGCACAGCAAGCACAATAAATTTTGGAAAATCATTCATCAAAAAATGCAAAACAAAAGTAAAGAAGGCCAAACAAAACATTTTTTTAGTGCACATTTTCAGCGGGTAACAACAGCACTTTAAAACGGCAAAACGAGACGAGGCAAAAAAGTGAGGTGAAGCTACGAAACATGAATGCAAAAAAGTGGCTAAGAAACATTTGTGCAAATATATTTGGTTAGTCCATCGACAACATGATAAATATTTCACCTAAAATGCAGAGGAATTTCGATTGCTTGATTTTTTGTACTTTTCCTCCATTTGTTATTGTTTCAATTTATTTACGTATAATCTACGTTGTTTTCGAGTTGGCATTTTTAACATTTATTCAAGCTGAACGAAAAGTCTATAAAAGTATGTCTGCCCCCAAATATGAGTGTGCGTGTGTGTTTTGGGTGTTGCAAATAAATGTTATTCCAATATTTATTGTGCTGCTTTTTGTTTGATTTGTTATTCTGTTCGAATCTTGTGCTCTGGCCAGAGTGAAAAAAAAGAGTGAGTAGAGGAAACCAAAGTTAGGGATAGAGAATGTGAAATTCCAGACACCGCACCAAATTAGAACTAAGCTATAGCATATAACCATTAAATAACAATTAACAAACAAATAACTTGGGGATGGAAGGAGGGAGGCTGGATGGCGGTGGGTTGGGACGGCGGGTAGAGTGACACAAATCGCGTAGCAAAACAGCAACTGAAAAAATGTTAAAAATGCTCGAGAACACAGTTTGACATGGGGAACACAAAAATGAAATTTTTCCAAGAACAAATTCTTGAAATTATAAAAATTAATAATGAACTGAAGTAGTAAAATGTAGATTTAAATATTTTTATAAAAAGCTGTTTGAATTTCAGATGATATAATATAAATAATAGAGCTGGGAAAAAATCGATTTTTAATGTATAGTTTTTTTAAGATTTTTTTTTTCGAAAATATCATCGATTAATCAAAATTATTTTAAAATTCAATGAGATCCTCTGGTTTTTGGAGGCAAAAACTAGATTTTGTTATAGTTTTAGGTACATCGATTGTTTCAAAACCGAATATATGCATAGACCTAAATAAAAATAATCGATGTAATCGATGTTAACATCGATTTTTTCCCAGCTTTTTCAGAAAAATAGTATTATATCTATATTTTACAATTATTTTTCACCAAAATAAGATTTAAAATCACATAGAACATGGTTAGACTCATTTTCCAAATTTTTAGAGACTCCTCTACCATTTTTATTGACAAAAACCAGTACCTAGGCCAAATATTATCGACAAAATTTCTCCAGTACTATATAGGGGGTTTTTGTATTTGCACTCCTAATAGCTCACAGTATTTCTTTAGAAAACTTTTAAATTAAATTTAAGGGTAAATTAAATATAAGTTTTTTATTTAAATAAAATATAATTTTAATTTTTTGAATTTAATTTAAATTGAATTTAAATGTAATTAATTGTTTTTAATTTAATTTTAATTTTTTTTAATTTAAATTTAACCAAAATTTATTTATATAAATTTAAATTGAATGGAAAATAAAATCAAAAATAAACCTCAAACCTAATGATTTCTTGCCGTTTCAAAGTCCGCTTTTGCCCTGTGAAAAACACACATATCCCTTTAAGCAAAAAACGTTTTTAAAAGTACCATTTGCACGGTTTCTTCTATGGTTTGGACGGGACTGTTACGCCCTATGGTCGACGTCTCTTCTGACGCCTTAATAACTTGCACCGAGCTATGTACAGCGATCGACAATGTGGGAGAAGACGATGATGATGATGATGATGGAGGTGGCTTGGCAGCAGCACAGAAAGCAAATGTGGAGGTGGAAATGGAGGTGTCGTGGACATCCAAACTGGCATTCGGATTGGGATTCGGTATGGGAGTGGGAGTGGAGGGGTTTGTGGTTAAAGTCAAAGCAGAAACAACACCGGAGACGTTGCCAAAGAGTCGCTTGCCGGTTTTGGGCGTGGCTGTGGATCGAGGTTTCGGTGCCTTGGGTGTCTTGAAGCCGCTATCCAGTATTCCTGTACATTCCGGAGTGCCATCGCCGGCTATTCTATCCGTTCTGCGACTGCTACTCCTTGTTATCCTGCCGCAAAAGCTGCGCAACTTTTCCTTAACCGGCTTCCTTATAGATTCGTTGAGGGTTAGATTTATGGACGAGGCCAAAGAGCAAATGGAGTCATCGGCAGCTGCCTCGCTGCCCAAGAAGGTGGAGGCATCTGCCACAGAACTCCTGCGGGGTCTCAACGTCTTCATCAGCGGCTCAGCCACAAAGCTCACGGATCGTCGGAGGGTTCTCGAAATGGAGCCAGTGCGTATAAGCTTTGGTTTCTTGGTGCTTGTTGGCAGGGCAAAGGAATCAACAGACATGAGCGATACATTATCCAAGCTGTCACGCTTCCTTTTCAGATCATTCTCCAGAGCAGGCAGATCATCGTCCGTCTCCAGGTCACACTCATTGATGGCCTTCAAGATGGGGGATATATTTTGAGTGGTGCTTTCAAAGTCTAGGACGATGCCTTCCATTTCGGGGGAACTTAGAGGAGTGGCCGCATTTAAACTAGTTTTGATTTTGCTGGTTTTCGGTGTGCTAGCCTGCACATCCTCCTCATCGTCTTCTTGTTTCTTTAGTGGCTTTTGCTCCACCTCCACCTCTAGCTCCTCATCATCCGATTCAGGCAACTGATCGTCGTTGGGATTTCCAATGTCTGCTGCCTCCACAAAGAGGCGCTCGTCAAAGTGTATATCATCTTCATCCTCCATTAAAGCCTGGTGGTTCTCCTTCTGCTCCTGCTCAAGATCCATACCCACTGGCGGACCCTTGTCTGTTTCGGACAAAGCCTCCGTTTTGAGCTCAGCCTTGTGCTGATCTTCTCCTTCCGCCTCCGACTTGATGCTTCTGCTAGGGGTTTGGGTTTGAACTTGGGTTTGGGATGGATTAGTTGGGGTGCTGGTGGGGTTATTAGTATCTGTGCTAGTGCTAGTGCTTGTAAATACTGCGCCCGTATTGGGCATCACCTGGAAGACACATGGATTAGGATTTTTGTGGGTTAAGAAGCAGCCCTTCAAAGCTGTTCCAAAAAAAACAAAAGCATGCAAAACTACAAAATCCAAAACTATCCAAAAAGCATTTCGATTTATATGAAAGGGCAGACTCACGACATGCGAACACTCCGGATCCTCCAGTTCGGCGCAGACGCCTCCATTTTCCAGCAAAACATCCACCATGTGCTGATGCTCCTCAGCCGGAAAACCAAAAAAGCAAATCTTTTGACCCTCAAAGGCCTTTAATCTATGGGTTTTGGTGAAGACCTCCTGCGTGGCATCAAACTCCAGGGAATTGCGATCCGACCAGGCGGCATACACCCAAGCAGGACGAACCACGGTTAACCGAAAGGTTTTGGCGTACCTGTAGAAGGGAAAATATTAGTATTCTCTTGAATGAATATCTCTTGTTAGAAACTCACTGATACTTTTCGCCGCCACTGTGATTGCAAATCAAATGCGTGGTCTTAGTGTTCAAATCCTTCTTGATGCAGCCGCCCATCGAGTGTATGAGGTTAACCAGCTTGGTCTAAAGTAGATATAAAAAAATTAGAGATCTCCTTTGAGGAGGAGTTGCTCGTCCATCCACTCACCAGCTCATCCTTTTTGCGTATGCCGGTGAAGCAAGTGACCACTCCGCGCATCGCATAGTTGTAAATGGGGCGCGAGTTCTGGCCCAGTGTCTGTTTCATCTCTGCCGCATACTTCAAAGCCGGCGGTCCCAGAATGCTGCAAGTGGAGAGACGATGGGAGAGGCAATTAAATATTTATGTGGCACACTTTTGAGTTATGCAAGGCAATCTGGTCTTTTATGCCCCAATTGACCTTGGCAGTTGCAATGGCCATAATTGAATTCGTAGTATCTCTGCTGGGGCATCGTCGACGGTGTCTTTGCCAGACAACATTCCGAATGCAACTGACGCGAATTCATCTCAATTGCTGAAGTGCTGCCGATTGTTGTTCCGCTTTATTGAACTTTGAACCATCTCTCTGACTAAGGGCTCTCTTTTGTTTATACACAACACCGGACATCGACAGATGGTGGTGACCCCATCCCCAACCCTTTCCCCGCAGCAAAAGCCGGAAGCTCCTGTAAACAAATCAATCGAGCGGAAGCTGACTGCAGCCTGACACATCGAGCATTGTTTTTGCCACATTTCGTATCCACTTTGTGGGCGTCGCGTAGGCATGGGGGCATGTATTTATGGTACTTGAAATGTGTTCACATTTATTTATTTATGCCCCTCATCAGGCGTAATTATGGCTGGAATTAAAAACAAATTGCGGCCCTCGGAAAATGATCATGAATGAATGTTTTTTTTCGGTGAAGTATCTCTTTTGGGAGAGCTTAAAGGCTAACAGGGAAATCCCTGGGATAAAAAGGGATTTTAAATGGAATTCTTCTTGAAGTAAACTCATTGGGTTCATAATTATGTATTATTTATCAAGAAAAGCTTATAAGCTCGGCAAGATAGGAATTTAGTTTATAATATACAAATTTACCATAGTTTCAATAGCTGATCCAGTCTTTTGTATTCCTTTAGAAGGTTGTTTAAATTGAAGGTTTCCTTGTTTTTTATATCCATATTTGTCTTTCTTCAGCAAGCTTTATATTCTCACTAGATGCAGCAAAATTTTCTCTAGCAACTTCCTCTTTTAGATTTCTCCCCTAGTCTCATTTTCACTTAATCTTTCACTTTTTAAAGACTTTTCTCAGGTTTACTTCCTGTTGTTTGTCTCACTTTCACTCCTCCTTGTCATATCACTTTACATCTGCATTTATATTTGCAGGCACACCACACACATAAATACGAGTTTTCCTGGCTGCTTAGTTGGTGTTAAACTCCTCCTTACCAACAAAGGAATATTTCCATATGCTCAAATATTTGTCGCGGGCACACGAAACGCTTTCATCCGATTCAGAGGCACAAGAATATGGAATATATAGCCAGCTAGAGCGACAAGAGTTTATGATTCTATCCGGGCAACTAAACAAACACAACTGGCAGAGCTCGTTGCTTGGGAAAATTATTGAATAAGCGATGGGGCGGCAGCGAGCGAATGGAAAATGGAAATAGAAAATGCCTGACATGCCAGGCGGTCGGAGGTCCACCCTCTCTGCTTTCTTCTAGCCTCCCCGTTGCTTACTACTGGTTGTTCTCTCCTCATCACTTAATTGTGGCACATAAGTGGCAAAATGCTACACAGGCGTGATATATTCCTCTATAAGCAGTGCAAACATGTCTCTCTCAACCCGGAGAATGTGAGATATACAGAGGAAAATGAGAGGAACAAAAATAATCTTAATCCAAAAAAAAGGATGCTGATCTTTAAGTTTTATAAAATTTACTTTAAATTTAGCTTGCTTAGTGAGAAATATACGTTTCTAAAATTTAAAGTAAAACAATGTTATTCGTCCTTGAGCGAAAAACGCTTTAGAATTCCCAAGTCTGAGTTCTGGGAGTCTTTACTGAAGAGCTTTTGGGGTGGTGGAAACAGACTGTTATGGTTTAATGTGGAGTTTCAAATAAGGTTTTAAAATTAACACTATTGATCTCTGATCTTAAAAGATGAAGTATTTCAATTATAGCATCTTTAAATATAAAAAAGAAATTTGAATATTTCATTAAACCTATAAATTCAAAAATTTAGATAAAAGTTATAATCTATATTAGTTTAAAATATTTTCTTTCCACATATAAATTTTTGCTCAAATATAGTACGTTTTTCTTCCTGTGTATCGAGAGGAAATGAGTCTGTGAGCGAGGTGACAGTAAACAAAGAAAGCCAAACGGAGACAGGTGAAATGCAAAGAGTGAGCGAGACTAACAAATATTTGAGCAGCAGTAGCAGCAGAGAAAAGAAATGAAATTCCAAAGAACAATTAAATATTTCGCTTGGTTTCCCAAGGAAAACCCAGAAAAATGATGATGCCTGGGCCTGATGATGATGCTTAGTCAAAGCCCAAGAATGCGCAGCGCGCGTGCTCGTCAACAAAAATGGGAATAATGATGATCGGATCAGAATGGATTGGTTCGGGGGAAAACGGGGTTTCGGCCTCCACAATGGATGATCTCTGCCATCTCTGGGCTTTCGTGTGTGTCTTTTGTAAAGTGCGCCGATCTTTGACTGACTCGACGGGGCACTCGAACTTTGCGAGGGTCAGAACTATAGAACAGTCAATGACATGTCGTTCGCGGACTCTTTTTCTGCCTCAATTAATTCACCATCATATCAAAACTTATAAATTATATAGTCGCTCGCACAGATACACCATAAATATTTAAATATATGCAAACAGAGCAAGAGCTCATCATATAAATGCCTCAATAAAAACGTATAAATTCCAATTTTTCCGAGATTCTCGTTCATTTTTCTTTTTTTTTGCGATTTGTTATATATTTGTGTGTGCTTTTTTTTATGGGAAAGAATTTCCGTTTTTCCCCAAAACGCTTCTTTCAACACTTTCGACTTTATTTGACATCGCTCGATCTTAAATATACACAAATTCTTGTAGAATCTTGGCGCCAAGAGATTGCTGCAATGCCACCTCCTCCTCAATTTGATTCAGTGAAAAAACTTGGCCAACGGCACCAGAGTTTCCTTCTTTCTTTTTTTTTTTGAATCCCCTGAGAAGTCCCAAAAATGTACGCAAAAAAACAAATAGCGATTCATTTTCGATTTCCCTAGAACTAAGCAAGTTTTTCTTTTGAATAAATTCTATTCGAAATTGTCATCACAAATTTGTATTTGTTTTTATTTTTATTTTAAGTACATTTTCATTCTCAACTGGCTACGTCCCCAAAATAGGCAACGAATCGCAGCGAGACTTCCCCCATTTAGCGGATGGATCATTCCTATGATTCAGATTAAATATATATATATATATATTGGCCATGCTGGGAACAACAATTAACAAGATCTTTGTGGCATCATTTTCGGCGAGGTTAAGTGGCCGTTAAAGTGCTTTCGTTCATTCTTTCAACTTATCGCACTTTTCTGGGAATATCTCATTAAAATGTCTTCGGTTTCCCATTGGGCTTTTGTATACTTTTAATCGGAATTCTTTCCCAGTAGTAAAAGGCACTCATAAGGCCCATTTAAATATTTGGAAAAATTCTAGGAGATTCAGAAATGTCAATAAGCTATTTTATTCGATTTTAAAATTTAGTCTATATAATGATATGCCTTATCCTTGAGGTTATAACAAATTTCTACATCTTTAGACTTTAAATTAAATTGTTTAGAAAATTAATATTAACTCGATGTTTATTTACTTTTCAAAAACCAATCCTACAAACAATAAAGACACCCATCTTTTTTTGTATTTAGTTAAAGACTTTTTTATGGCTAAAAGAAAACTCACCTGTGATAAACAGTCATGATTTATTTATATCGGGTGACAAAAACAAAACTGGGAAAGTGCATAACATATTTATTTAAAAAATAAACAACTCTCGCGTGACAGAACTTTCCGCGCAGTTTTCTTTCAAGTGATAAACAGATTTTCAATTTAATTCCAGTTTATGATTTTCTATAAGCGAACAACAATTAAATTTATAGATGGCAAAATACCATAAAAAATGTGAAACATGAAATATAATTAGCCCGGAGAAAAACAAATTCTACGCACCTCTCCTAGGTTGTTCCGCCGAACGGCTTTTGTTTTATTTTCCGCTCATTTAGCAGGCAAAAGTGGTGAAAAACAAATACAAATTGCAATAACAAAACGAACCGAAACATGAATGAAAAATCTATGAAATAAATAATAATTCTTAATGGCAAAACGAGCTTTTCATTTTGGCTCTATTTCCCCCAGTTTCGCAGTTTCTTTTTTCCCTTACAAGCGAGAAGCGTGTTGGGAAAACATGAAAAGGAAATGACAGACTCCCACCGACCGACCGACCGCCTCCTCTTCCTGCCGAAAAAGAAGAACCCCTCCAAAGTCATAACAAACTTAAACGCATTTGGTGACCTCCAAAATAAAAATGCTCGTAAATAAACGCTAACCAAGGTATCGCAAAATTATTGTTAATCACTAATGAGACAGGGCAGAGGTCTCAAAAAGAAATCAACAACATAAAAATAGGGGAAGAGTTCGGGAGTTCTCTCCAAAGCGTGCATGTTATTTGAGGCTATTACTACGCAGCAGGCAAATTAATCAAGCGTGCAAAAAAAAATAAAATATAGGAACTGAACCAAACAGAACCGGACCGACCGAGCCACATATAGAGCAGAAGCGCAAACATTTGCGCAAGTTTCAAATTTGACAACAATTTGTAGCACGAGAAAAATGATTGCGAGCCATTTGCGACAAGTCGAAGTGGATATACCCTCAGAACGAGGGCTTAAAGGCTTAAATATGCATAAATAATTTATAAAAATATTACTAATGTTAAAAACATTACAGAAATTTAGAACCATTTGAAAGTGTGCACAGAAAAGAAGAACATATGGATGTAATTGTATTTGCAATTGGCTGATATTTTTTATAAATTAATTTCTAATAATTCTAGTGTGGTTTTACTTTAAAATTTAACATTAATTGTGGGGGCATGAATATAAAATGACTTGAAAATAATACTAAAATTCTGGAAATCCTAATTTATAAATTTGAAACAAATGTTTCAATAATGCATTTATACTTTTATAAAAACAAAATAATGAAGATATGCATATAATTCATATTACCCTGCAATCAAAACTCTTTTTAAATAGTAAAAACCCCAACATTACCACACAAAATCTAAAGTTAAGGGTACAACATCGGAAGAAAGACGATGAAGGGGCTGATTTTCGGCGCATGGCTGACGCTGTCAATCTTGGTATCGGTGGGTAACGAATGGATCCAGCGGGGAAATTGAAGAGGAGACAGTATCCCAATGCGTGTGTCTCGATTTCAGACTCAATTTGCCCGTTGCTGCTGATGCCCAGCATGATGGAGGCGACGACGATGATAATGGCTCTTGACTTTGTCGCCGCTCGCAGAGAAAAAGTGGGTGCAAAAAAAAAAAGGGGGAGGAGGCGGACAGCTAGCCACATGTGACAGATTTGTGTCCACCATCATCAGCTTTGTCTAAATTAAGCAGCATTCTTGTTCTTTTTCGGCTTTCCGTCGGGTTATTATTAGTGGCAGTGACTAGGTACTCACCATTCCTTTTGCTTGTGTATCGCCTCGAAGCTGGCACCCTCGAAGTCATCGAGCACGTAAAAGGTACGCCAGTCCGACTCTCCGATGATGTCCAGGCCCGTCTCTGAGGTGACGATGGGCAGTCCAAAGGATTCGGCTGCCTGCAGCGTGTCCGCATCCTGGCCGACATTGCCCACCAGGCATATGCGACTGGGCAGCGTTGTTATGGACATTTCTGGTAGTGAAAAATAAAATTAAATTAGACATTGTTCATTGGGTGTTGCTTAAAATGAAAAATAAGCATGGAATAAGAGTTAAATATATGGTTTCTTGTGTTTTTAAAAGAGCAAAGAAGTAAAAGTTTCAAGAATATTAAATGTTTAAATATTTTAGGTTTTAATACAATTTTGTTTAAATTAGATAAAGGAGTTTCTACCATATTCTTACTTAATTTAACAAATAAATCAAAAATTATCATTGTTAATTCCCTTAACTTTAATTAAACTCCCCAAAATATAAAAAAAATTACCACAATTATTTCTGAATTTGTGCAACCAATCCACCTCCAAACAATAGTTTGTTTACAGGGGACTGAAAAAAGTTTAGTGTTTGATTTATGGCTATTTTGTGGATTTGTTTGTTTATGCAATTGAGTGTGCGAGTCGGAGAAAGAGATCGAGAGAGAGAAGCCTATGGTACCCAGGCAGAAATTGTGCAAAATAAAACAAACAAAAGCAGAGAAGCAGAACGTAGCGACTAACCAAAATAGAACCCCATTGTGCTTAAGATGAGGCTATGAAGATGGAGGATGTGGGCATGTGGGATGGCGTACAGGGGGGCTGGCATACTCAGCCGAATCCCCGGCAATGCGCTGTCGATCATAAAGCGGCCAAATTGCGAGCTGTTGACATCAATTTTAATTGTGCCGATTTCTTTTCCCCCGAAAAAAAAGCAGCGACCTTCCCATAGTTTTTGACACACAGAAGGAAAGCAACGTAGAATGCAAAAGGGGAAGGCGGCGCGGAGGCAGTGGGCTCTAGAAAATGTTTTCAAGTGCAAATCATTTACCCCCAATCGACATGGACACACAACACATGGAAGAAGGCCGCGCCACACCACAGACGGCGGCTTTGTTGCATTAATTTTATCCAGAATTGTGCAGCTGTAACCGATGCCAATTGCATCTATACACATATACTATCTGTAGCGGGCATCTGCGCTATAATATCTGTATCTGGCGAGACATTCGCCACTTGTGCAATTGAACAAAGTCCAGGAACTGCAGGAGAATTACTGCAGTTCGTGTCGTGCACTCTGACGTATCGGAATTTTTAGATAAATATTCCCTGCTATGCATTCCCAAAACAAGCGATAAACAATGCAATTTACCTAATGTAAATCGGTGGGATTTATGGACTAGCAAAATGTTTACAAGGTAGGAAAATCTTAGGAATGCCAGAATCTAATGAAAACTTGGACAGGGAATGTGCCCCCAGGGAATGTAGAATTTATGGGAATTTTTTTTGTTGAGAATAAAGTCACGAAAAGATGTTCCCATTATTTAATGGTAAAAGAGACGTAAAATGCTTCTGTTTTGGTTCCTTCAAAATATTTTCATGGTATTTTTTATTAGACGTACAAATGTTTTATTCTCATAATGAATCTCCGTATACCCTTGCAGGAGGGAATCCCCTTTTAAAGCGATCTTTAAAGTATGGATTCTTGATGAGCACAAACAACCGAGTCGTCTTTCATAAATAATATACATTTTTTTGTTGAATATTTATATTATCCTTTAGAAAAATAAATAGTCTTCATTACTCAATATATTTAGTTAATTTTAAGGGTTACATTTCAATCAACACAACTTGCTGGCATTCATAAAGCTTCGAAAATAGATTTGAATATCGATATTACTTTGAATTCCATTCAAATTCCATGCAGTGAATATTAGGAACAATTCCCTCTCAATTCTAATAGATTAAAATGAAAATTTCCAGTACATGCCACATGCACGACCCCTTTCGTTAATAAAAAAAAAAAAGCACATATATTTATTAATAGTTGTTTTCCATTCTGCGAAATGTCTTTATATCAATTGTATAAACATTTCCTTATTGCGATATTAAGTATTATTATTATTATTTTCACTTAAACATCGATTGAAACCGATCTATTTAGTCTTTCAATTCTCGGTAATTTTCCTGTTCCTGCACTTTTTCCAAGTGTTTTTCGTTTTTTTGATGATTCAGACAAGTCTTTGGTACCCTGCTTAAGTTTCTCTTCGTCTGGGATAATATTTGTCAGTTATTCTTTTTGCGAATATTCAACCCTTGAAACGAGTACCTGGAGGGTTAGTCTGGGTCCCTCTAAATACCTGTTAAATCCTCGTACACCTGACAGAGGGCAGCCTGACGGAGCTTCGCCTGCTTGACTTCCTCGGCGGCGTCATATGTGAAATACGAAGCGGATTGTCTTTGAACCGTGACCACTTTGTTGCTCTTTTTCCCAAAGTGGCTTCCGAAGTTAAAGTGTACGACCGGCAAGTGCAACATATCGCCCTGAAGATCCTCGAGGATCGGGCTCTGAAATATAACTAAATTCGAGACGGGCTCAGGGAACGCCTGGAATGCCATTTTGCATAGCCACAGGTGGTTCGAACTTAAGGTAAGGGACAGCAGCAAATGGATGGAGAGATGGAAATGGCCAATGGCCAAGTGTGGGAAAAGTGCAGAGACTCACAGGTGGCGGCAACCATTTTTCGCATTTTGGGAATTTCCTTCCTTTCTGCCTGAGCGAAATCCGCCGTTGTTTCTCTTCTGCTTTTCAGTCTTTTCCTCGCTAGCTGCCTGGCGGCTTGCCAGAAACATGATGAAAAACTAATTGAGTGGCATCTGAGAAACGTAAAGCCATCGGAGCAAAGAGGGCGGTTTGGGATTTGTGGGCGGTGAGTCGAACTACACTGGGGAAAACCACCTTCTATATTCTATACAACATTTATTGTTTATGTATCAAAAAAGAATATTTTAAAAACTTAGCGAAGAATATGTACTGTTTAAATATTAATCTTAAATCATCTTATATAATATTATTAAATATACCATAATTGTAAGAGTGATCAATGAAATTTTCCTCTGTTTAAGGTACAAAATCATTTCTTTCAGTGTAGAAGAATTTGTCAAGCAGCACAGACTCATCAAAGAAAAATCTTGTAATAAAATTACGCATCCCGCGGAAGCCTTGACGTAGGAGAGGACCGGATCCGAAGGTCTGCGGGGCATGTAAAATGCCATTAGCATTGAGGGACAACGGAAAACACGGACTGCAGACTATATTGTAGTTTTAGGCATGTGCGGCCTGTCAACATGTGTAAAAGGAATGGGAGGTAGGCGACCCGCAGGGTAGGTACATCGCACGGCAGAAAGAGAAACAACAAAATCGGAGAGTAAGGATCAAGGAGTCTGTGAGGTATCTTTCTCTCTCTCTCTCAAGAATGCAGAGGGAAACAGCAGGAAGTGCAGGATAAGATCTCCCTACCTGAGGTAAGTAACAAAATTAACAAAAATTCTATGGAAATGTTAAAAAATAACACAACTTTAAAGCTAAATAACATCAAAGGTTAACATAATTTTATTGAATGTTTTCCTGATTATAAACTCATACTGAGCGTAACCGAAATTATAAACTCAAATACGCAACAAAATATATTTAATGAACATTTTATTTGTTTATGCCGCCGTCGGAAAAATTCTTCAAAGACAAACATATTTACACGTATTTATAAAAGGCATTAACCTTTAATATTAGATAGGGAAATGTGTGGGATTGCCAGTTTCGGGTTGGGCCTTATAATACAGTCTGAACTATATAACTATCTAACAGCTAAAATATATTATTATTTTTATTTTGGAATATTTTTTAAAGATATACTTTAACTTTTGAAACTAGAAACAAAAATTACTAAGAAATAGTTTTATCAAAAATTATTTTGGCATAACGTTTTCCAAAATAAGATACATTTTTATATTACGAAGTTTAATTGTACTTGTTTCGGTACAATTATTAAAATAAAATAAATTATACTGCAAGACATGATCAAAAATTGTTTCAAAATAGTTTCTCAGATTTATTTATTGATCATAAATAAAAACACGACTTCTTGCTAATTTTAGCTGCTTTTTTAATCCCAATTTATATTGGCTAGCCAGATCAGCTGGGAAACGCTGAGTTGGCATATCTGATAACAGGAACTCTTCATTAGCGTTGTTGTTGCTGCCTGTCTGTCCTTCTTTCTCCTACTCTCACTACAGTTAGGGCGCCTTGGCCGTTGTTGTTGCCTGCTCTCGGTACAGTGCCGGCGTGGTGAGCGAGAGCGGGACGGGGCGAGAAAGGGAGAGGGAAGGATAGAAGAGGCACGCATTTTGCACACACATTCTTTTTGTGCGATAAACATTTTCTACACAGAAATAAATTCAGAAAATAAAGCTTAAAAATTTACCGACGCGATGCCGTTGCTTTTTTAGTCCGTGCAAACGTACACAACACATACGTATAAATAAGTATATATTAACATTGTTCTTATACTCGAATTTATTTGCTGCCAGCGACATTTTTTATGAGGATCTTTTGGCCCCGACTGTGGTTTCGCCGCACCCCTCGGCGCATCACCCCTTCGGCGACATTGAAAAATGACAAATTTGGGGGAATTGCGGGTGGGGAGCTGCCACGCCTCCCAATGCCCTCGCAGTACTCACCGCACTTGGATTGTTGCTCCTCTATGGTCTCCATTTCTGTTGATCTTCACTTTTTGGCGAATAATTCGCAGAACATGTATAGAAATACAGGGACGCACACACACACACAGGCACATGTAAACAAACGCACAAGGAGACAAATAATTCGTTTGTACCCGGATTTGTTTATTTCACATTTATTTATTGGAAGATGTCTGTGGCGTTTGCTGGTTTCGTGCACTTCCCGGGCATCGTTTTAGTTAGACAATTCAAAAGATTGCTCAATTGAAAAGCGGCGCGCAAAAGAACAAGCGCACTAACACTCACGCAGGCTGGCGTCGCCTGGATTTCTTTTCAAGCACCGATCGCAAAATATTCGCACGTGTGCACCTGAAAAACCTGTGTATATAGTTCACCGAACATATGATAAACAATTTAAGTGGATGCACTACGCCTGGGCACGCGTCGACGGCTGCGCGTCGGAATTACAAATCAAAACTCAACGGCCAAACACGTCCGGTTCGCTTTCGTTTTATATATATATACATATATCGATATATAAATATATCGATATTTTTGCCCAATATTGATATTTTTTTATATTTTCTCCTTGGTCACTCTGAATTTCAAAGCAAAATGTTAGTTAACATAGAAATGCTCTCGATTACAGAATTTGGCTCGTTAACAGACTTTGCTTATGGAATTCCCAAATTGAGAGCACTTGAAACGAGAGCATAACTGAGAGCAGCGATTCGCATTCGATAACAAAACTATCGTTGCAACACTGGAAGTATATTTTTCATACTAAAAAATACGCAAATATTGGTATAAAGTCGAAACGGTTGGTGGTATTTTGCTATCGAGATTTTAAAGTACTGTCATGTCCACGAAACGGAACAGTTAACTATTTTAATTTAATTTTGAGAAATAATGTATTTATTTTTTTAAAATTTATCTCAATTAACCAAGGATACTGCAACAAAAAGCTGAGCTCTTAAGTCAAAAAAACCACGGAAGCCAAGTTATCGATACCTTCAACTGGCGTTGCCACATCTCCCACACTTGTTGCTGTATCGACGCACACACCCACAGACTCACTCACACAACTGCGGGCCATTACGTCAATATGGCAATCTGTCAAACGCACAATTACAACAAAAACATTGACAGTTGGTCAATAGGTGCGCACAGGATACGGATTTTGCTGGATTTGCCAAAGAGCTAAACACGCGAGGACTTAAAGCTGCGTCCCGCAATTCGCCGAGGAAAATGCTGCCTCAACCGCCGCCCCACGGATTGAAGGTGATGTCGGGGGCAGAGGAGAACCGCCACTACTTGCGCGCCTTCATCCAAACGTACCGGGATCTGCCCGTTCTGTGGGACACCTCGCTGCGAGACTACACCAACCGAGAGAAGCGGGCGGAGGCCTACCTGCGCCTGGTGCCCATCTACCACTACCTGAAGCGGGACGCCACCGTGGAAGATGTGAAAAAGAAGATCAATACGCTGCGCACGAACTACCGCAAGGAGCTCAAAGTCGTGGAGAGCGCGATGCGGGCGGGGAGTCTGCACAGTCCGCGGTGCTGGACGTTCCAGGAGCTGGACTTCCTGCGCAACTCGGAGAAGTTTCTGGCCGTGAATCCCGCCTTCAAAAACGAGCCCTCCTTCGCCTTCAGCGAGGGCAGCAATTGCACCACCGCCTTCCTGGAGGGCACAGGACCCAATTCCCTGCATTATCCAGCAGCTCGTGCCGGTGGACAAACGCCCAATATCTCGGAGATGTTCCACAAGTCATTCGGTCCACCACCACCGCCTCCGCCGACAGTGAACCATGGCGAGTATGTGACCACCACCACCAACAAACGAGCCAGGCAAACGCCGCCCTGTCCAGCGGCAGGAACCGGTGGGACCTCTGCCCACAACACGGACGAGCTCCTGAACATAGCGTGCGAGTATCTAGCCGGTACCTATCCCGAGGAGGAGTCCATTGCCCGCACCTGGACGCACAAGCTGAAGCGACTGCCGCGCGAACAGCGCCTCTTGGCCGAGCGCTTCATCAACGAGATCCTGTTCGAGGCCGAGTCCAACAACCTGCACCGCGGCTCCGTGCAAATCAACAACAGCTTCGAGCCCTACGTGCGATACGATGAGCCTGCCAGTGGACCCGAGGAGCAGGACAAGTCCCAGAGCCCCAGCGTGCACACCTCCAGCGAATCCAAACCGAATGTGGGCGGCGGGGGAGCAGGAGGTACGGGAGCTGTGGGTAACCCCAGCACATCATCGGGCATCAGGGAGTTCTAGGTTAAGTTAGTTACCTAAGTGTTATTAAGTTTTAATGGCCAAATGGGGGGCGACATGGCATCGACAGTCTAACAAGGAGAATCAACAAATAAATAAACCTGTAAATAAAATCGAGATGAGAGGAGTGTCCCATCAGTCCAGGCGGTGGTAGTCAACCAAGTTGCGGGTGAACCAGACGTAGGGCGAGACGCCGGCCAGAAAGAGGCAGGCGCCGATCACAGGACGGTGCAGGATCCAGGCCACTGCCGCAATGGTGAGGGCCAGCGAGAAGGCGATGAGTAAATTGCCCGTCACCGGGAATTGAGGATCCGGTGCCAAGGAAATCAAGAGGGGAACGTGAACAACTGGAAAGAAAACAGATGGAGCAGTTTCCCACACATCAATGCCTCACTGAAACTCACACAGTAGACGAAGAATTTTGCTGTTGCAGGTGACGCCAAAGAAGATGAGCAGCCAACCGACGAAGCGCCACCACCAGGTGTGCAGCACCTGTGCGCGCGACTCCAACCGGAATACCTCCTGAACACTGAGACCGCCCGGATAGACGAGCAACACGGGTACACCGCGTGAGGTGACATATGGCTCCAGCCTGTTGCCGTTCAGCTTGCCCACCACGCTGTACGTCTCGCCCTCCATGCCGGCAAAGCTGAAGAGGAGGCGAAGGTCACCCACCTCCGGATTGAACACATCGTTGGTGTGATAGTAGATGCCCAGGTGTAGCTTTACGCTGCTATCCTCGGGCCGGATATCGGAGGTTAGCTCCTGGTAGTTGCCAAACTTGGCCTTCACCTCCGCTCCCAGCTCGTAGCGACCGATGTAGACGGCGTCAGCCACCTGGACATGGCTCTCGATGGGAAAGTGGGTGGGATTGGTGTGTCCATGGCGGTTGTAAAAGTTGCGCGAGTCCACGATCTTGTCCCGCCACTCCCGTGTGTAGTAGTAGGTGCGGGAGTCTGACTGCGTGGAGCCCACGCTCTCGCCGTAATTGTGCTCGCTGCGGGTGGAAAATGGAATATTTTCATTAATTTACTCAATTTACCCCAAAATGTAAACTTACACCGTCTCCTCGACCCACTGATACATCTGGACCCTCCGGCGCAGCTTCACCGCCAGCAGCTGGATGTTGTAGTCCGGCTCTGTAAGCGGTTCGCCCACTAGAATGGGGCCGGAGAGATGGACAATCCGTCCGTCCAGGCCAATTTCCTGCTCCTCCTCCGTGAACCGCACGGAGTAGATGTCGGCGTGGGCCTCGTCCAAAGCCATCATGTTGTGCACCGCTCGTCCCTCGTTCCAGTAGAGGACGGTGCTCCCGGCAATGAACAGGATCAGGCCGAAGAGGGATATGAGCCAGTGGGAGCGCAGGGTTTCGTTCAAAGTGGCCATGGATATGGAGAATTGGGTTAAAATATATCCATCAGAGTGGAGGCGATAAATAAACCTCAGCTGATGGCGGGCAGTGTGACCAGAAGGCGAGAAAAGTAGTATATACCAAATAATATACCAAATACACGGGCGGTTAATTTTAAATTTAAAATTACAAAATTAATCAGGATGATATCAAAAAATCGTTATATTTAATTAATTTTGAGAAAATTAATTGCTATTCCACTTTTAAACTCAGTTATAAATACAATAAATTAAATAATCTTGTAAAAACAGCTGGCTATAACCTTATCCTTTGTCATTTTCATCCCCTTTCCATCAGCTGTTTATCTTAATATTTTCCAAAAAAGGACTCTTATTTGCTTTGTTTTTGATATGGCCCTGCCTAAAATCGTTGATCCTTACATTTGGAAGGAAATCGAGGAAGAAAAGCTACGCTGGGAGAAAAACAAGGAACTCAAATACGAGTCAAACCAATTGCATTTCAAGGAGATTGATCAACGCAACCGGAAGGAGCTAAAGGAAATGGACCAAAAACATCAGATAAGAATGAAAGAACAGGACGAAAGACTGCAGAAAGAGTTGAAAGAAATGGATGAAAAGCTGCAGGTACGCTTGAAGGAAATGGACATAGAAGCCATGTTGAAGATTAAGCAAATGGAGCTGGAAGTGGAGGAGCGTTTAAGATTAGTCGAGCTAAATTTAAAGTACAAATCGCAGCAGTAATGTCACATTCATACATAACGATAGCATTTAAAGCATGGGAAGTCGATTGCCAAATCCTTTTTGAAATCTACAACACTGAAGACCGATTACAAAGCTTCCTCTTTCGCAAAACTGCAACCAACGAATCGCTTCTCTGCTCCGACGATCTTCAAGTGAGTTAATCTACTTTTTTACTTAAAGACAACAATTAATTAATGTGCTTTATTTTAGTTTAAGCCATGGCTATGGAATTATTCTCGGATCCATATGGTTTAGAACTGTCTTACTACCAACCAACTGCTGAGGAGAGAGCAAATGATCACCAGATAAAAGTGTTGAACATTAATAACGATTTGCAAATTCTACTTAAGAAAATGGAAATTGAAGCCCAAATAAAGATGAAAACCATGGAGCTTGAGTCAAAGGAACGCTGCATGGAGATGGTGTTGAAATATAAGAACACTGATTCTCAGAAAAATACAGCAATGAAATAAACCATGTGCTTCTCAGAAATTTGAAATTCATGTGAATTTTTTATCTTCATTAAATATTCACTAAATAAAGTTGGTAATCATTGACAGCTATGAAGTGTGTATTATTTAATTAAATACTTACGCTATGAACGTTCGTAATACTTGGAATATGAACATACTTCTTGAAAGGGGATTCCTAGAAATTTATAGTGCCTCTCAAGAAAAAATAATATAAATACAATTATTTAAATATCAAGGTATAAAGCAAAATTTTATAAAATCATTAAAAAAAATAAAGCACTAAAATCTTTTTTTTTGTTCATCGCATTTAATATTTTATGAATGGTTCGGTCTTTATTTACAATACATATTTATGGTAATTTATTGTTAGATAATTTCTCAATTCAAGCCCACGTATTTTATAAACTTTTTCTCTTTTTTTTTATGCTACATAATAATATGCAAAAACATAAATATCACTTGCCTGGCGCCAACAAGTTTCACAAGTTTAAAGGTTTTTTTGGTCAGTTTCCATTTTATTTCTAAACATAATCTTACAAACAAATGAATAACAATCAAAATTAGGGCATGTAAATTTGTCAACTAAGGTTTAAAATTATTTAACAGAATATAACTAAACATAAACTGATCATCGTTGCGCTTTACAATAAAAATAAAATATAATTGTTGCAAGAAAATTAAGATTCTACTAAATATTTGGACAAAGAATCACGCAGAAATTCCATTGAAAAGGCGCACTTTTCTACAATCGTTATTAGATATTTATATTATATATTTTATATTTATATGTAAATGTGGTGTTTTTTGTTTGTGTCTATGCAAAATACATAACTTGCTGCCAGCAGAGCGCGCATAAAATTTACAAATTTAAATCTTAGTACACAATTGATGTATTAAATATAATTCTTGTAATATTTTTAGCCGGCTATCACTGACAAAAATAACTTTGCTTGTTTGTTTCTTACTTTTTTGGTTTTTATTGAAGCAATATACGAAACACGCGGCCTGAAAGTTCTGTATTTTTAACTAAATTACGTTAATAGAACCCATTGTTTTTGTCATCATGTAAGGTAGTTTTTAAGGTAGGGTTTTTAAGGTAAATATACTAAAGTTTAAGGTAATTCATTTGCTAGCCTGCAAGGGTGTGTTCTCTATAAGGTGTTATACGCGTTGAATATATACGAATTCATACAACGGTTATAAATATGTATATATGAACTTGCACTTAAACCAAAGAATGGATTTCTTTAACGTTGACTAACATGCCACACAATCAAGTAACTCTTATCGCCTCGATTTTCGATCGTTTGATTTGGTTCCAGTTGAATACTGTTCTCCATGTCGTTATCATCTGTAAGTAGTCCAAAAAAATAGGTAAGCTTTTGTTGCTTTAGAAAGTATAATACGTATATAACCTATCTGATAGATGGGTTAGTTGGTGCAGTGATGCGAGGCTACAGGTTTACTTTGGATTCGATAATTTACAGAGATCTTACAGGGCACAATACAGCTGGGAAGTCTTTTTAAGGGGTTATCCGGGTTTTGAAATTTCAAAAAATGCATTTTTTTCAAACTTTTTTATATAATAGTACAAAGTGTCAGGAATGTTGTCCGAAAATTTCAAGTCGATCGAAGCAAAACTGTAGGAATGGGAGAAATTTAAAGCCCAGCGCGTCGTATGAGTCACAACTGGCAATTAAAACTTTAAACGCGTTTTTCTCGAAACCACTTTCTTGAAGTCGGTAGTCAAGATTTCTCGAAAATTACTGGACCGATCGACTTCAGATTTTCCACACTTCTTCTAGACATGTTTTTCTTGTCTCTGAACGAAGGATTTTTTATACCTTCAATTAGAACCGATTTTATAACCCCAAATATGGCCAAAATTTACGTAAAAAGTGTAATTTTTCATGAAAAACGCTCCCAAAAATTAAATTTTTAATTTTTTAAAAAATCCTTCGTTCAGAGACAAGCCAGACACAAAAGCTAACAGAAAAATTTTGGTTTTTTGATTTCAAATAAAAATTGACGGAGAAATCCTGCCTACCGCAAGGACATAATTTTTTTTAGGGTTAAGTTCAACCCTCCCTCAACGGCTCATTTGTGAATATTTCTTGTTCAAAATTTTACAGAATTTAGCTCAAACCTTATGTATTAATGTAGAATAATTGAAATTTGCAAAATTGTCATAGGATCTTTTAAAAAAATTCTGGAAAATAGGCCTTTTTTTGTGGTTCTAAACCCGGATAACCCCTTAAGTGAATGTAATAATAAGAGTAATAATTATAAGTTGTTATTAAAATTAGTAAACCACTTTCTGTGGTAGTTTGTTTAGGTCTTTAAGTTTATAAATGATTTAGAGTTAAGCAGTTGTTAAAAATTAGGAATAATATTATATTAATTGTGATAATAAATGTGATAAATAAATAAATAAATTTGGATATAAGGTATAGTTATCAACACCAAAGCGCGCAAATAACAGTCCGGTCTTCGTTGGGAATTTTCTTAGTTGAATTTGTATGCTTTTTAAATTACATCAAGCGGCTTTTGTAAAGTAATTTAATTAGAAAAAACAACATAAAAACTAAAACAAAATTCCTTTCGGGTTCAAGAAATCGCTTCTCCTCCCGGTAAACGATAACCCAGGCCGACAAAGTTAAAAAAAAACGAAGAATTTATTTTTCCGAAGGTTTTTAAAGCGCTTTTTTGAGCTTTGCTTAAAACTCCTTTAAACCCTGGCTTATTTACAGTATAAAGTATAACCAAAACCTTGCATTAAGGTGTTCTAAGACGAAAGGACAAGGTACACCAATGGGAACTGTGCGTAGAGACAGTGTGTGTGTGTGCTTTAGACATCCAAAATTGTATTTTTTATAACCCGTAGGACCTAGGCTAAGTTGTATTAAAGTTGTTAAAGCCTTCCGCACACATTTTAAGTTGGACAAGGACTGGTGCAGTTTTGGTAACAATAAAGAAAAACATGAAGCAAATAAAAAGAGGGACTTGCTTAAACCTGCCACTGGTGAGGCAAATGCTGCACAATTCCCGTTCGGGATGCGGTTACCATCCTGCGCTACAGATTGAAGGTTCTACAGAGGGCAGAAATCGAACAATTAGGCATCGCATTAAAGGCAAAAACAAAACAAACAAATTAAACAGGGGGACAGTAACAAAATAGGAACAAAATAGAGCTGGAAATAAAAGGAATTCTATAATCGATTAATCGATTTTTTTAAATTTAAATTTTAAAAATCGATTTTATAGAAGAAGTTTTACGGATATATCGTAGAATATTATGTGTAAAACAAGAACATTTTAAAAACTTTGATGAATATAAATATAAAATTTTAATTATTTAAATAATCGATTTTAATCGATTTATTTGTTAAATTAAAATAAAAAGCGATTTATTTCCAGCTCTAAAAGAAAGCATTCCACGGATTAGGAAAAATTAAAAAGAGCAATGCGGATAACAAAATAAAATCAAAATGAACAAATAAAATCATAAGCTTACGTATCGACTTTCCAAACTATCAAGTGCGCTGCATTATCGCTAGCATCGAACTTATCATGTCCTGCAGATGGGATGGAGGAATATGGAATGGTTAGACACACACGGCTCTCAGAGCTTGGCCGCCGGGTCTGGTTCACTCGGTGGTGTCCACTTACTTATGCGAAAATCAATGTAGCCCTCGCCGCCGCACATGACCAGCATATCGGGACGCTTGTTGCTGAAGGTCAAACCGCCGTTCATGCTGGGCTGCTGGAGCATCGGCACAGACACAAAGAACTTGACCGCATCCCGGTGGCCATGGAAGGAGAGTTGAGCGTTGGCCATGCAACACAGCGGCATCTGGCCATGGGGATCAGCTGTAAAAGGAATTCAAAGTTAGTTTAAAGATAATAAAAATACAAAACTGAAACTCACATGACGTCTTCTGTTGGACCTCGGCCAGTGGCACTGAAATGATGACGCCATTGCTGGTGCCGATCCACAGCCTGTTGCAGGACACCATCAGGGCGGTGATGCGGACAAAGCTGAAGCCCAGCTTGCCAGTGCCCAGCATCTTGGACACATAGGGTTCAATGTCCACGTCCTGCTTGTGCTCGAACGTGTGCGTGTTGTACAGCCGCAGCGTGGAGTCCAGTCTGGAGCATTATAATAATTAATATCGTACAGAAATGATCACAATTAAAGCTTATATACCTGATAGAAACCCATACACCTGCTCCCGTGGCAGCCATTTGTCGCACCTGGCTCTCCTTGCGCGGATGCGCGTCCAGCGAGTGCACAATATTGAGCGATACGGGGTCAACGATGAAGATCTTGTTGCGGTGAGCCGCCCAAATGCGTTCGCCGGCCACACAGAGGCAACGTATCGAATGGTTGCGATCACCGAGCGTCACCAGGTGATAGCTATTCAGATCCCATTGGCCGTCTGTCTGGCGGCGGAACACGGCCAGCTGGGCATTGGCCAGGGCCACAACCACCCTCGACTCAACATGGACAATCGCCAGAACAGCGTCCGGCAGGAGAACCCGATGCAGGCACTCGTGCCACCTGCCCACGCTGCTGTGCACATACAGCCAGCCATCCTGAGCGCCCAGCCACATGGTTGGACCCACGGAACTCATCGAAGGCTCATCGCGTTCCTTGGTGCCCAGGATGGGATTCAGGGATTTGGTGGCAAACAGAAGGCTGCTGCTGCTGTTGTTGTTATTGTTCGCTGGATGACCGCCCTCGGTGTTGGGCAGTCGCTGAGGAGCTCCTGGCAATGCCTGGCGTATCTTGATGGCTTCCACATTGCCCAGCGGCTCCTCGGCACTGACAGCCGGCAGCTGCTCATTAGACTTCTCCGTAGCCTCCTTGGCCTCCTCATCCTCCTTGGCATTGCTGTTTTGTTCATCCTCCGTCTTGGGTTTGACCCGCACAAACTCCACCTTGCCAAGCAGCTCGGCACCCTCGCCGGGACGCTGCAGCATCTCACCCGCCTTGACCACCTCCGACTGCTCCAGCAA